CAGACTGTCATACAACATCAGACTGTCATACAACAACAGAGTGCCATACAACATCAGACTGTCATACAACAACAGAGTGCCATACAACAACAGACTGTCATACAACATCAGACTGTCATACAATATCAGACTGTCATACAACAACAGACTGTCATACAACAACAGAGTGTCTTCAGTCAGAGGTTTCTTCAGATCAGCTACAAGAGATCCTTCCTGCCCACAGCCATCAGCATCTAGAACAATTCTTTAATGAAACCAGGATGACGAGTTACCACAACCCACAACAAACAGCAGCACGAACATGAGTCTGTGTGAGCAGATGAGCACGAATGAACACAGCAACGTGAATGAAAAATGCAAAAGCTTCAGCATCTGGTATTCGCAGGTGGTCTGCCATCCAAATACTAACCAGGCCCGACCCTGCTTAGCTTCCGCAGTCTCAGAAGAGATCGGGCGTATTCAGGGTGTTACGGACAAAAACGAGGCGCTCAGTCACAGACAGGATTTTTAAAGAAACGTATACAACCAGAAGTTACAACATGTATGTACACACAAAACACACAACGTAAAAACACGGTCGCCCACCTTAAAGCATTGCACAACAAACTGTGTTCATGTGTTTTAAAGGGCCAGCCTGTGAGCTGCTGGCGGTGCCTGCCACTTGTCTGTCTCTGCTGAAATAAATCATGTGGCAGGAGCAGTGGCTGTAATGGAAAGTGGATTGATTACAGTTTCCACCGTTGAATTATCCGCTCGGAGGCGGTGCTGAACACGCAGCTCTTACTGGTTTGAACTCTTCCAGTGGTTCTACCTTATAAAAACCACGACGAGCTCGCGTGAATTAAACGGCATCTGCTGAGGTTATGAGTCACGCAGCTTCGCCAACAAATGCAGGAAAAGAAAATGAAGCAGAACGCTTTAAAGGAACCTCGCACAGATAAAATGTGTGCATCAGAGAGGGACGTGAGCCGAGTTACCTCAGCTTCTGACTGTGCAGCGAACAACTCCATGACTCCACCTTTGTGTGCAGCTTAACGAACGTCTCTAAATACAACAATTCAAAACAGCTTTCCAGAAACTGTCACATGTAAGGGCCTTGAAGGAATGCACATCACCCTTTGTGTTTGATGCCAGAGCATTAACATGAGAAATGACACTTGCAGCAATTTTGCAGTGTCTCACACTGAGTGCGTGCTGTGAGTGTCTCTCAGCGACGGCTACACTCAGCTCAGTGCATGCAGCTGACTCACTTATAGAGGTGTGTGTGTTTATTCTTGTTTGGCTGTGGCAGCCATCTTGAAGGTGGCTGACTCCAAAAGTCAAACACTTGTAGTAGTACATCCAATTAATGTTTTTTCTGAGTTTCATTAAAATCCATTCAATGGTTTATGAAATATTTTGCTAACAGACAGACAAAGTTAATGCAAATAATTATTGGCAAAAAAGAAAAAGCAACGAACTTGCACAATTTGTTAGTGCTCATAAAATGTGTTTGGGATCGGTCAGCTTTGACCAAACCAGATGTTATATCAGTAAATTAGCAGATAAACATTTTTCATGTTTTAGTGTCAGCTGGCTGTGGCGGCCATTTTGAACGGGGCTGAGTCCAACAGTTCATGACTTGTGTATCTGTCACAACTTTTCTGTGGGTTATAATAAACTGCATGTAGTTGTGATAGTTTGCTCTCACACCGCAGCGCATCATCTTCCTCTGTGGCACATTTGAAAGAAGCTCACGTCTTCTGAAGGTGAGCGCGCGCACAGCAACACGCACTGAGCTGAAGTTCACGGCGCTCCGTGGTGCAGCTGTTAGCACCATCTTTGCTTCACTTTCCTCCTTCAGGTGTTTGACAGTGAAGCGACTTCACACCTCACCAACTTTAACACCATCGTCTCGTGTCCCGCACGCACGCGCTCCTACCTGACAGGCCCTTGGCGGGCAGCGGCTCGCGCTCAGACTGGATGGGCAGAACCGCGTGAGACTTGAGGCGCGAGGCTGCTCCGGCGCCAAGCCAGCACGCGCAGCTCAGTGCGCACAGCAGCCAGGAGAGGGGCGCGCGAGGAGCCAGCATCCCCCTTACAGCTCCGCACA